CCTTGCAATAATTAAGTTTATTTTTGTCGTATTCTGTCTTATCGTATTTTGTCGTATTGCTTTCAGTGTTGTGCGAGTATTTGGTACGTGTAATTTACAAAAATATTTGTATAAGCCTTTGCGGCTGCATCTGCCTCACTGGCGTTTGTGTGTAGGCGCTTGAAAGTATGCAACTATATTTGTGTTTCTGCGGTTTCCTTTTATATTTGTGCATGGCACGCACAAGCACACATACACATACACATGCACATACACTCGCACACACAAAGGCAGTGGGAGACATGCACTCATGCAGTCGGTCGCTCAGTCAAATGCATGTGCACAACATTCCACATCATGTCAAGCGGAAGTGAGTGTCTTTTATTTTTGTTTCCCTTGCCCTCTCTTTATTGCACTGTCTCTTGCTCTCTCTCTCCCTTTCTCTTTTTATCTATCTCTCACGACGTGCCGCTTAATGTTAATTAAAAATGGGAGCAAAGGACGTGAATATGTAGAAGAAATAGTAGCAGAAACAGAAACAGAAGCAGAAACAGCAGAAGCACAAGATGAACGCAGCGTATGAGTATTTTAATTAGTTTGCATAATTATGTGTGCCTTCATGTGATGTGTGAGGAGAGTACCTATACCAACACACACCCATAATACACACATATACATACACACGCCCCACACATACTATACACAACCACACTCATAAGTACATGTAGCAACGCTTCCCTTTCATCATGCTGCTATACAAAAATTTCCGACTGGTATCGTTTCAATTGCTTTACAACATTTTGATACAAATTTTTTATTTTTTTGTGTACGAGTATGTAATGAAGAAGTGCGTGTGTGTGTGTGTGTGTGTGCATTGTATATTTGTATCCGTGCTGCGATTTCCATTCCAAGGCCACTGCGTTTAATGCTGCTTTTATTTCGTACCCGCTTATATTTTTCGTTGGCCATGCTCTGTCGAGTTTTATTGGCAGCTTTATTGATGTTTGTCATATAATTTCTGCAGCTTACTTGGCGAATCGCCCTCGGTTTTTATGACGTCTTTATAAGCACATTTCCCGTATCTATATGGCCGAGTATATGTGAGTTTTTATGTTTGTCTATGTGCGCTGAAGGGTGCATATGCAAAAACTGCAGTTTTGATACTTTCTTACACATTTTTCGCCGTTTATTTCTGTGGCCAAATTGAATTTAAATAAAACGCAATAAAAACATATAAGTGTGTGCTGCAATTTGGTTAGCAATTTTTTGGGCAGATATCATGAACTTTGTTGCTTACTCCATGCTCCAAAAATAGATGTACATTAAGTAACTATATAAATGTAGCACAAAGTTTCGAAAAATTTACAAAAATATAGTGTAAGAAGTTATACATATATTTAGTTATTGGAATGGAAAGTTCTTAGATGCTTGTGGATAATACTGAGTGCTGTTAGGGGACCTCCGACTACTACGATTTCATGTAACGATTATCAATCCAGAAACTTATTCGTATTGATATATGGATGTTTATGAGAACCTGTCTTCATAACATATTATGAGCTGCATAAGCGACTACACTGGTAACCTGATATTAAAATAAAATTATCTTATCTTATTCCTTAATTGAGTAATTCGCATTAATGGGAAACATGTCCGTGTTATCCAAATAACTTCAGACTATTATTGTGCAATATTTGTACGAAATAACTTTCGAAACTCTACACGATTTGGAAATTTTCTTCTTGAGACTCATCGATTGGAGCAAAAACTGTTTTACATTAATGGGAGAAAATAAGTGTTTCCATCGTATCGGACGACCCTTGCCTGTAAGTCTAGGCATCGCTTGTCGAAAGGCAAATAAAAATTATAAATAAAAGAAAATAACATAGTAACTCCAATTGCCCTTTTCTCTCCTCTTTTCTTCGACTTATAGATATATAGTTTTCTCTGTGTAAGTGTTGTCAGACATTTGGCTGCTGGCCTTGCTCTTAAAAAGGCTGCTGAATACCGATAGTCTGCTGCTACTACAGCTTATTGGCTAGCAGGACACGTTGTCCTTGAGCACTGGCCAATTCTATCACTCTATCTTCTCGCTGTGCGTGCAATAAATGCTGCCTTTTCGCATCGTGTAGCTTGCCTTCTTTGGCATTTAAGACAAAATCAACAATCGCATACCCATGGCCTTTGTTTTATCCAACTAGTTGCTATACAGATACTATACACAACTGTAATTTCCTTAAAGAATTTCAAACACTTGCCTTCGGCTACAGGGCACAAAAATCTAAATCAAACAATATTAAAATTATTTTGAAGTATCTAAGGAGTTGATAGTGCTCACATATAAACATCTTGCGAAACTAGAAACTTCTCATATTAACAAATACCATTAGATGGCTTGGCATTATAAAAATGTTTCGAAAACTATTAAATTTGAAATGATCGCGTACGTCAAATAGTCTTTAAACCTTTATATGCATTTAGATATGTACACATTATTTCTAATCCAATTTCTCGTTTAAGCGCACAATCCACATGCACATTAATCAAAGCTATTATTTATGCTCTATTAATTATGTGATGGATAAACAAACACCACACACAAACACACACACACACATAGAGGGAGAGAGACATGCACATGTGGGCTAAATAAGCATCGGTGTTATTTATGAACACTTTATTGCGTAATCTGTTTGAAAATGTTATTTGCCAAAATTCGTGGCCATTGGTTTTTATAAATTTTGCATTTATTTAAATTATCTCTTTTTTTCGCAGAACAATTTTTGTTGTTGTTATAAATTGGTTTATTATTTGTTTGTTGTTTGTAAACTGTCAAAAGTTCGTTGTGCTTTGACAACTCATGTGTAAGTGTGTAGCATATGTTTTGATTTTTCATTTCTTTTTATAGCATAAACTATATTGCAATGTTTAGATATTATTATGTGTATTTATATATTTTTGGCCTGCATGCAATGCACAGCGTGGAAAATGTGGACTTCATTGAACATAGCTTTTTATATGATTATTGTAATAAGCGCACTTTGCGCTTGATTGCGATTCAACAATTCCATTATTCGAACCTAAGCAATAATTTGCTGACTGATCGATCGTATACTCTACATATGAGACTTACACCTGCCTTGCCCTCCACAAGCAATTCGTCGTGCAGATGACAAGAACGAACGACTCACAAGACAAATGAAACTGTGTGTTGGGTCTCAACAGCAGGCTCAATAAAATAGAAAGATGAAAAGTAATAAAAATGTATTGAAAAAGTTGCCTTGAAACAATTTCTATTCTCACTTTTGCGCCATTTCTTTATTGTCATTGTGTCATTGAGGAGTAGCGTGAATGTGTATATGTGTGCGTGTGTGTGTGTGTGTGGCTGAACTACTCGCCTTTGTCGTGCGCCTTTGATCTTAATGCCGGCACTGACATTGTTGATTTCATGATGACGATAATACTGTGATGTGCAATTTTTCAACATCCTCAATTTGTTTTCGATGATGATGGCGTTGCCATGGCGGCTGCTGCTGTATTAACTCCATTTGTCAATATTGCTTATTGGAAAATATGTAAGCTCCAAATTTTGTCATTCGGCGAGTGCTGACAGCGACAAAAACTTGACTGACAATCGAGCCATATAAGCGAAGAAGATATATTTCAATTATGGTAGGAAATTCATCAAAAAAGTTAACTAGACGCTCAAGTGGCGTATAAATGCCATTTAAGTTTGCGATATGGCATTCAAAGTGTTACGACTCGTATGTCATAAACAGTTTCAACACTTCGACTTTGACAATACTCTGCACATATGTGTTGAATAAATATGCGTTTCTTACGTGTTTGTGTGTGTCTGTGCAAAGCAGCAACAACAACAATGTACAAAGTATAAAAAGATAGAGATCCTTACTTAGACGCCAATCATGTAACCAATCGTGTAAGCAAATTACCTATAAAATTCCTGAATAAGCAATAGAAAGAGCATTTATATATTATTATAACAGCCTTAAAAACAAAGATGCTTTGCAAATGAGATCGTTCGTACGACAGCTTTATGATATACATAGATCTAACATTGTCGGACATTGAGATGTGGATTTATCTTATCATTAATAAAGATACCTTCAACATGAGAACATAATACTTTCCAGGTGATACACTATTACCCTATTACCTTCGACTTTACAACGCATAAATGTAAATTTCTAAAATTTAGCTAATCGACAACCAAATGCTGACATTAAATATGTATTTAAAACATTTAAGAATATATTTTGTAAACTTCCATTAAAACGAAAAAAAAATAAAAAAAACCTGTTTTAACATCCTGAGAGAGCTAGAAAAGGAACATTTTTCTCTCTTATCTTTTACTTTTGAGTAGACTTCAATATAAAGGTAATAGTATAGCTGATAACTGATTCTACTAGGAAAAAAATTGAAAACTTTGACTATACATGTATTTCCATATATATGTGTTTTATAGAAAACCAACTAATATATTGTGTTGCATAATTGGTATTAATATAAAATTTGCTTGCTTCTACTTCCTCTTTTCCCATTCAGTGCACCTAAATTATGACTTTATTTAGCTTATCGCCCTTTGATTTGAAGGAACTTTGCCATCAACTGATTGGTTTTCATTAGAATATTATTTTCTCAAATGTATATGAAAATAAGCAGAGATAAAACCGATTTTTGTATACCTAAGGGATATAGTAATTACGTAGTGCATAGAGTGGAGATATTTTTAATCATAATAGAGACGTACTTTTAAAATGAAAGCTCCCGAAATACCTCTTTAAATACAATTACACCATGCTTTTGACATAGCTTTCTAAATATATAACATATTTTCTGTAAACAAGAAATGTCTTTGTCAGAGGTACTGCAAATACATATCTTAGTAGTATGCAATATTGATGTTTGTTATATAATGCGTATGTATATGAATATATTTATTATACTGTATGATTATTAATTTATTTATGGCAAACAATTCCAGGAAAGCAATTCGCGAATTAAAAAAACAAATGGCAAATATTTTTAATTGTCCTTGAATACAGGTACAGGTACAATTTATAATTCCACGTTAATTGTTGAGTTTTGGAGAAACAATTAGCACAATTAGCACTTTTGGAAATGTTGGAAACCAAATGAAACACAATTGTGAGTTCCTAGTTCGTCTCATTTGCGATGAATCGCCATTTCTGAATATTTCAAGGGATGCTCGCCATCAAAGTAATTCCAGTTCATGCACTTCTTGCAGTTTCGAGACCGTTCATCGTCCATCGGAAACCGACTATTTAAGTTACTATAAGAGCCAACAAAACATGAAATTAATGGCTGTATCAGCTTACTAATCAGCTTCAACCTACGTATGATAACAATTACCCCACCACCAGCCTCCAGTATATTTCTGTGCGCATGGACTATTCGTACTAAAATCTAATCCAAAATGACCTCCAAAAGCGCTCATAGTTAGGTGCCTCAATGTAACGTTGTCCGCCTTTATTAATTTATACTTGTCCTTCTCAGTCATGATTTCGAACTTTGAGAATGTGGCTTCTCCTGTTTTACCAGACCACGACTCCATTTTGATTCTCAGTAGCATTGGCCAAGTGTGGGTTATTTCGAATAGACTCTCCAGTCCCAGCCAAAAGTCGCCATTGATTTCACCAAATCCCGTCTTGTATTCCTCCCAATTGCGCTGAAAACTGACGTTTCCAAATACTCGCCTCTGGAAAATGAGCCAACCACCTAAGCAGGGTACAGTTCTTTTCTCCTTTGAAAGTGGAGTTACAATCTCAGCACTTTGATGGTCCAAATTCTTGCAATAATCTGGGTCTGACATTCCTAATGTCCTTTCAGCATTTATAGCAAACACTAATAGCATCACAAGCGTGCTCATAGTGAACTTTTCTATAGTTTGTTGGCTTTAAAAATTTGACTTGTACTGCTCATAGATACTTTGTTAACTGAGTTGGAAGAAATTTAAATTTGTTGCGGTAAACTGAATAAAGAAAAAAAAACATGGAACTAATCTCTTACATTATTTTGCAATAATGTTATAATCAGAATGAACAGAGCATTGACATCAATATCTTTGGAGACAAGCATTTTAATTATATTTGTTTAAATTAAATATTAAGTTAAAATATTTGTATTTTAATTTATTATTATTTTAATTTAATTGCGTTTTTTATTGTTATATCTGGAACTCTATTTCTTTTTTGGTAGCTTTAATAACGTCTCTGACTACTCTTTCCTATGAATCGGGATATAGCAGGCCGTTTGGCTGATAGAATCTTCCCATCGAGTTGGATTCGTCATTAGATATTTCTGAGATTTAGTTTTTAGTTTAGAACATAAATATTTATTAAATATTTATTGTATTGACTTTGTTTTTACATGAAATAAACAAACATAATTATAAATAAAAAGTAAATAAAAAATAAATAGGAATTAAATATAAAAAATAAATAAAAAATTTAATTAGTATGGACCCAACAACTTAAACCCTTTTCTCATTAATATTTTGTAATTTTTTTGTTGCTTTTATTCTTTAGTTTTATTTCATGTAAGTTCTCTATTGTATTGCTTTTGTTTAATCGGCACTTTATTTGTTCATAAGGTAATAAAAAATATAAATAATTATGACATGAACACTTTTCTCATCAACATTTTGCAGTTTTAGTAATTTAAATCGGCTTTTTTATTCTTTAGTTTTATTTAATTTAAGTTCTCTATTGTATTGGTTTTGTTTAATTATCGGCTGCTTTGTTTGTTGATGAATAAAATAGTTAATATATACACTTATCTCATCAATACACTTTCCAAGATTATTTCAAGCCATAAACGCATCATTATACAAGTATGTATGGTCCAATACACAAACAATTTTTCTTTATTTTTTATTTAGTCCAATTATTTCCGTGTAGGTTTCCGATTTCTGACGATCCTGCTGGCTGTGTCGTTGGTTTTACGGCAGGTGGCGATTTATCTGGACCATAATAGCGTATTGACATTTCTGTAAATTTAAGTGGCTCGTCTCCATCAGTTCGCAGCCAGTGCATGTGCGCCGCTCTCATCTCGTTATCCTTCGGAAAGTTGCTATTTAGATTACTACAATAGTGAGAGGCAAGTAAAAGTAATTGGTATCTCGGGTACTTCTTTGGCTTAAACTTACGCCTAGTAGCAATCGCTCCACCACCAGCCTCCATGAAAGAGTTTTGTACATTTGTCCGTCACACTAAATGCTCTTCCGAAGTGACCTCCAAAAGCGTTCCAAGGCAAATTTATTAACGTAACATTCTCATACATTTTTAATATATACTTCTCCTTCTCATTCATCAGTTCGAAGTTTGAGTAATAGGCTATTCCTTTTGTTCCCGACCAGAACTCCAGCTTTATCTGCAATGTCATTGGCCAGGACCGGGTTATCTCATAAAGATTTTCCAAGCCCAGCCAAAAATCGCCATCTATTTCTCCAAACCCGTCTTTGTATTCCTGCCAAGTGCGCTGAAAGCTAACATTTCCAAACTTTCGTCGCTGAAACACAACCCAGCCTTGGGAGCAGGGCACATTGACTGCCTTATTCGTGTATGGAATCACTATTTCCTCCTTCTGATCGTCCAAATTTTTGCAATATCTTGGTCCAACAATTGCTCCGTCGGGTATAGTGGCAGTGTTCAATCGAACCATGAACAGCAACGGAAATATCCACAATCTACTCATCGTTCGGATACAAGCTTGTATCTTACTTTTGAAAGTTAACTTTGTTTCGAAGAAAATTCTGAACAGGTTCAACTCATGCGGGCATTATATTAATTTGTTTCGGTGGGATGGAAATAAAATAAATCGTGACAAATCGTTGTAGCAGTTCACTTTCAGTTTTTCGAGTTGTTAGTTATCTAATATTTTTTTTTTTAACTTTGGCATTAAATTTCTAGATCCAAATAAATATATATAACACAGCTGCAAATATACTCGTTATGTATGCGGCAAGCGCACAAATTGATTAAAGTTTTCCCTTGGCCTTAGCCACAATCAAATAAACTTTGCCAGGCTGCTGGAAATTCTATGCATTCTAGAAAGGACTTCATTTTTGTGGGAAAGGTATACTTTAATCAGGGCTTTCAAGCCAAAGGTTGAACAACTAATAAAGTTGCATAAAAGCTGCTTAGCAAGCTTCTTTCAACAGGCAACTGCCTCATAATATAATGCATGCATAACATACACATTGTTTCATAAGTGTGTGTGTTTGTGTGTATGTGTGAGGGATCTAAGGGGAGAACTAAAGGAATAGTTTACATATAAACCGCTACATGCGTGCCAAATTAAGTCTACCTGCCTATCTGCCTAACTCGTTTGTCGTTGTACACCCGACAAAAATGCGAGCTTTTCTGGGTTAAATAAAAAATTGGCAATACAAATTTCCGGATGCGAATATTCGTCCTTTTTGCTGCAATGCAAACAATGCATTGGTAAACAAAAATTGGTAGTATTTTTTAGAAGAGTATGGGGTGTTTGACAGTTGATAACTGACGCAGTTTCTTTTAATTATAAATTAAATTTTAATATTTTTTTTGCTGCACTTTTAACAATATATATTGTATTATTTGGAGATTATAAAAAATATTTCCATTATTTATTTAGTCCCAATTAATCAACAATTTATTTATATAAGATCTCTTATCTTCATCTTCAAATTGTCACAAGATTCTCAGACCTTATACCTGTGTAAATGCTTTTATAAAGAGCGTAGACTGTCAGTAATTTCTTTCCATTATAAATTTGATAATTTATGATAATAATAATTAATAGAGATAATTATAAAGACGTTCCAGGCCCCATGGTGCGAAATTTTTCAGGACAAGAAGACGACAATTCGGTGTGGTAACAGGAAGTTCGTAAAGAGAGCTTTAAAATAGCGTTATTAGTACTAACTCTCTGAAATTAATTGTGTTTTTTGCAGCACAAATTAACAAAAGTACTATAACTACAAAGTACTAACAATTAGGTAAAAAGTCATAAATTTGTTTAAGATACCAACATGTATAAAAAAAAAACAATAACTTTTAAATAATTGAATAAAGAAATATTTTTTATGTTGAGTTGTTAAAGGAAAAATACATAAATTTTTTTCTTAACCCAAAATCTTGAAATGGGAAGGTAAAAGTACTAAATTCACTCATTCGCCAAAAAAGTTTGATAGAAATAAGAAAGAAAGAAATAATAATAAACTCTCATTGATATTAAAAAACTTATTTATAAATTAAAACATTTTTATTAATTTAAATAAATAAGAAAGAAAGAAATAATAATAAACTCTCATTGATAATAAAAAAAGAAAACGAAAAGAAAAGAAACACGCAAAAAATAAACGAATCGGCCGTTTTCAAACAATAAAATGTGTTGGTCTAAAAAGTAAATAATTCAAAAAGAAGAAAAGTATTAATTTTTTTGCAGAAATATTAAAATAAAAATGTTATTACTTGTATATGAAGAATTACAAGCCACTAAAAATTTGAAAAATCCTTAGAGATATACTAGGAATAAGAGGATAAATGCCCGTAAGTAAATCGCGCTCTTACATTTCTCTGGTCGGGTGTGCGGCTTAAATGTTGTTATTGTGTTAGTGTGAGTATAGGTGTCGGCGTGTGTATGTGTGTGTGTGTGTGCGCGCGCCAGTTGGCAGCAAAGTTTTTAACCATTACTTAACTGTTATGTGCACCTTAAGGCAACGGCGCACGCCACTCACAGCAAATCACTTGGGCACGAAAGTGAAACTCAAATTCGCAACTTCAGCTTCAGCTACAGCTTCCGCTACAGCCTGCCTCAGTGCTGGCACGTCGCAGCCTTTTGCAACAAACTGTAAACATGTTGCATACTTTTATGCGTCATGCAAGTTTTACGGTGTGCATGCGAGGCAACGAATCTGAATGAATGACTGAATGAAGTGAATGGTATCCTGGCCGTTGGGTTTTTCTGCTTTCCTCAGAAGTTTGAAAGGGGCTGCTGTAGTGTGCGGGAAAGGATACGAGTATATACCATATATAGTAAGTAACTATTTGTTGGCAAATAAAGTGCTGTTAATTGTTATAATTTTTTAATTGTACGAGCATGTTTTAAATGTAAGAGAGCAGCTTATTAATGTTAAATACTAGCAAGTTGTGATACATTGGCCAGAACAAATGTCTGACAAGTAGTTAAACAACAACAACAATTTAATAAAAAGTTGCAACTCGATGGAACACTGAGAATTAAGAACTACATTTGTAGATTGCCAGACATCCCCTCGATATCAACGATAGACGTCTCAAAAGATTCCATTCGCTTGACCTTCCATTATGGGTCAACTAGAGCTTTCCAAATAACCTTGTATTTTGTGTAAATTATTTCTAATTTTGATAATTATCGTTCTAGGGCAGATCTTAAATAAAGCAACAATTAAAAAATAATAATAAATTTTCAGCTACATAGCTTTTGCAGTTTTTGCTTTTAATTTGCAAGATGAAAAACGTTTAAAAAAGACACACAAGTAACTAGGAATAATAATGTTGTTGATTAAGTATAAGTAAGTATAAGCTATAAGCAAGCAGTAAAAGTGTTTTATTAAAGGACCCCCTACTACATACTATACAATCGATAGTATTTATAGTAACGTTTTCATGGCTCCCGGAAGCATTTAAATTCTGTATGATATTCACAATTTCACTTTTTCTTTCTTTACATTTTCAAATTTTCAAACTCATTTCCACTTTTGAACATGCCAAGTAAATGCAATGAACATATTCGGAATTATATATAAAAAGTAGCGAATTTTGCGTTGCGTGTTTTTTGTGTCCTTTGCCGAAAAATAAAGAAAGTTACAAAGGAAACAACTTTTGTTATAAAGCATGTCCTGTGGCAAATTCTTATGCGCCTTTCCTTGCCATTGCTTGCACACACACACACACACACTAACATCCCCCACTCACACTCACACTTACATCCCCGCTGCCCTTTTTACATGGCTTCACATTTTTTTGCTGCTGGTGCTGCTTCTTTCCGCTTTCAACGAATTAAATGGCATGAAATTAAAAGTTACTCCGAGAATTTTTGTGCTGCATTTGCAGGAAAACGTGAGAAATTATAAGCACAAAAGCGCGCGGGCGTCACGAGAACTCGCACAGAGAACACGGAAGCATAAAGGAAATGCCGACATGGAAAAGAAATGATAAAATATGAAATGCCGCTTGCGAGTGTGAAAGGGGACGAGTGAGAGGAGCGAGAACGGGTCGCACGGCAAACAGAAGACAATACAGAAATCTGCTTAAATGTCCAGGAAAATGTTAAGCCTTTCTTTCGACCTCACCATCTTCAGTCTTAATGTTGCTCTTTGACCGCGTTGCCGCTCCCTAGGTGCATAAGTAAGTCGCCCTCTTTGTTTGTTTGTTTGTTTGTTTGTTAGCAGGCATTATTATTTGCCAGCTCCTGCAAAATTTAGAGGTCTTGGGGAACTTAACAGTCAAGCAAACAACATATAAAAGACTTACTGCGGAAAATGTTTTGAAAAAAGGAAGTTGACATTTATTTTCAAAGTATGATGGAAATGTGTTTCATGTTAAATAAGCGTGCAGGAAAATGATGAAGAAGTTACAAACTTTGGATGAAAAACTCCCAGGAAAATATAGAATGAAATAAATGGTCGGCTTGAATGGAATCTGCAACCCGAAATACTTATAGTCGAGCTATATATCATTCAGCTCTTCTATAACCGACAATTTCAGAAATAACACTATTGAATTGGCAGCCACAAATAGTTACAGCAGAGAAATGAAAGTGAATTTTTGGTCGGAACCTTGGCAAATTGTAAGAAGTAATTAATCATAGAATGGTCATTTTATTTTGAATTTAAATAATACAAAAAAAATTATAAAGAAAATATAATAAATGATATACATATTCGCAATCATACAAAATAAAAATAATAAAGAAATGAAAATTTATTTCAAAATACATCTAGTTCAAAACTGATTAAAATAATAATGTTTTCTTCGTGCTTGGGAATTTTCTCTGTGCAGTTAGAAAAAGATTGGAGATTATGAGAACGCGATTAAGTAGATCCATAATTGTTGAAAGACGGGAAATCTTAAACATGTGATGGAGCGGACTTATTTAATATCCTTATTTCGAGACTGAAATGTGGAATCTTCAACTTCAAAACTGTGTTTACGTTATTAGCCTTTTCAGCATTGGAACTATTTTCTGAACATTACATATCAAAACTAAATATTCGAGAGAGTTCGTATTGATACTAGATGTGACTATATAAATATAAAAACAAACGTTTAAAGAAATAATATTATAAAAAGCAAAACAATCAAAATAAACAAATCGAATCAAAGTAAAAAATAAGAAAACACAGCAGAGAAAAGAAAAGAATGACAACGGTACTTTTGACAAGATATATGGGTCATATATTGTAGAAATCTAAAAACAAAATCTTCTGGCGTAATCAACTTGACGAGATAAACCTAATCTAAAACTATGGCCTACTCTGGGGATGTTGGAAACCTCAAAGAAGCATAAAATTCGAAATACTATACTTACTAGAATACTTACAGTGCAAGCTGACATTTTGGAAACTTTCAAACTACGAACTTAATAAATATACGGCCTTTGCTCTACCTGCGAATTACCTTCGACCTACATTTGACTTTCACACTTGCCTGAAACTTCAGCCGTTAGCA